CAGAGATGTGGTTTTACAGAAGAATGCTTAGAATACCTTGGACAGCCAAAAAGAGCAACCAAGAGGTCATGAAAGAGACAGGAGCCCGAAGACAACTTATCGCAGACATCAGAAGGAGACAGTCATCATTTTTCGGTCATGTTATGAGAAGAGGGAAAATAAAACATGTTGTGACCACTGGAAAGATCTGTGGCAGGAGGGATAGAGGAAGACGAACGAACGAACTTTATTTTCAAAGGGTCATAAATTGGGCACGCAGACCGGTCTTACATTCGGCCCTTCCAGTCTAAACCATCTTTCGCACAGCAGTTGTATTTTACTAATAAAGCATGTTATGATCATATGATGATATGCATATTATGAATATTAGACAGTGAAGACAGCGAGAGAAGATTCTTGACAGTCTTGTTGCTTGGCATGGAGGTGTGTCAGCAGACGAACTGATACATGCTGCACGAGATTGCGGATTGTAGAGAGGCATGATTGCCCACGCCATTCGGCAAGGCACATGATGATGATGATGATGATGATGATGATGATGATGATGATGATGATGATGATGATGATGATGATGATGGTGACCTCGTTCCTGATTTTATTTCTTCTGGCTAAAAATGTGGTGTCCCTACTGGGAGGGACAGAAAAAGTCATACAGTCACATCTGAACAAAGCTAGAGCTGCTTTTGGAAGGATGAGGCAAATCTGGAAATCCAACAATTACTGCAGAGGAACGAAACTCCGACTCTAAAAGAGCATGATTTTGCCAGTTCTACTTTATGGAGCAGAATGCTGGAGAATGACCAAAAAGGATGCACACAAGCTGTCCATCTTCCACCACACATGTCTACGTAGAATTATCAAATTTTTCTGGCCAGATACAATCTCAAACACTAAACTACTTCAAGTCACAAACCAAGAAACTTTAGACAGTATGATTACCAAAGAAGATGGAAATGGCTTGGCTACGTTATGAGAATAACTTCTGATATACCTGCCAAAACAGCTCTCACATGGACACCAGAGGGAAAGAGAAAACAGAGGCGCCCAAAAACAACATGGAGACGAACGATGGAAAGTGACCGGAGTGCGGCATCTTTGACATGGAAAACTGCACTGAAGATTACACAGGACAGGAAAGCATGGAAAGTCCTCTCTGAAGCCCCATGTGCCACTAGGCATAACGAGAACTGATGATGATGGCTAAAAATGTAGTTTTTCTCAGACATCTAATTTCCATGGTGACTATATAGTTTACTTTACTTATTGTGTCCTCTTATTCACACAGCACAAAAACAACACGTATCTCATTTTGAAAACGTTATGTGTGTTATCATATGTCCACAGGAATGAATAGTCGACACAAGCAAGTTGTCAAGGCATTAACAGAAATAATACACATTTACAGTGGGTATTGCAATCACATGATTATACAGCATGATTATTTCAATGCACAACAGATATACGTGCCCTTAGGTACCGTACCTGATAAGGTTGCGTTTCCTTCACAGGACTTTGCAGAACCAACCCCAGCAGCCCCTGTATGTTGTGTGGTAGGAGAACAGCATAACTAGAATGTCTTTGCATTGGAATCCAACGGAGGCATAGGAATAAAGAAAGGTAAAAAAAAAACACATTGAGAAGAGAGCTGGAGAATGAAGTTAGAAAGATGGGGAGGACATGGGGAGAGCTCCATGCAATGGCGAAGGATAGAACGACTTGGCGTGAGTTGGTTGAGGGCCTATGCTCCATTGGGGGATAGAAAGGCAGCAGAGAGAGAGTTTGCTGTTGCTTTCCGGACGTTCGGCCTCCTGATATCACTGTTGAAACCAACGTAAGCCGCATGGCCCGCAGTTAGAATCGAACCCGGCACCCCGGCATTATGAAGCGTTCGCATCGACTTAGTCATAGAGCCGACTAGGTACAGTACCTACAGTCATTAATATCATGTTATGGCGTTATCAGATGTTTTGGAAGAGGTGACGACACGAAATCAACTTATGACAAACATCAGAAGGAAGATTTCAAATGGGGGGGGGGGGGGAAAGGGGGGGGGGGGAGACAGAACAATGGGCAGGTTCCAGAAACTACATAGGCGGATGAGCCAATAAGAGCGGCCCATCTCAGTTGGTACGATTTACTATGAAAATGTCCAGGTCAAGACCGGCTCCAGCTGACAGGCCATGCTGCTGACGTCACCAAACCGGGCTAACGCAGCTTTTCTCAAGCTTTTTTCGTCGCGCAACAAAAATTCGCGGCACACCTACCCTTAAAGCAGTTTGAATTCTCCTATGAAGACCTCATGTCATTTTATGACAACCTCTCCGTGGTCATCTTAGACATAAGTTTCCAATGTAGATGGTATCTACATTTTCTTGAAGTCAGAATACATCTGCCTTAGAGGCAAGGAACCAGTAGTCAAATCCTGAAACAAGACTACAGTCCAGGAGAGGACGAACAACCAAGATTTTCCTCTGACTGGCGTTCAACCACACCAGGAAATCAAACACCCGGTGACCCAAAGTGCTACCATTCGGATGAGAATCCCCCGGGAACAGGCCTTTAAAAAAACGTTCTACCCATAGCTTGGGTTATATTAGGGTCCATAGAAACAGCCAGCGTGGGGCTTGAAAACAAGAACAAATTTCGTCCGACATTGTGAAGCAGTATATACAAAATAAGTTATTCTGAGAAAAATGAAAAATGATTTTAAAAAAGCGCGACTGGCGTCGACTAATAAGGCATTGTGCTCGCAATTATGTGACCAAAATGAAAACAAAACTATACATATGTACACGCTATTGTAGAAGATGAAAGCATATTATCTATTGCTTATTGAATATTATGCACACACAAAATCAGCTGATAATAAAACAATAATACGGGAATACATAGGATAACTCTAGCTAAGGTTTAGCCCTGTCAAGTATAGATGAGGTGTTGTCCCTTTATTCTTCTTCTTCTTCGCGTTCACCAGCTGTAAACTTTGGCGGAAGGTTCTGGTTGCTCGTCCACTACTGAACTACAGTCCTGCTTCAGAACCTGAGTGTTGCGTGTGCATCAGTTTTACAGATCTCATTCTCTTGAATGCAGACTGTTGGTTCCTTGCCTCTCCGGCAGATGCACTCCGACTTCAAAGGAAGCTCCTCAATTAGTCGACTCTTACGACATGCTTTTGAGGAGGCAGTGGGTCTATTCTTGTTTTCCCCACAATGGGGCCCCGGAACCCACACGGGGGTGTCCCTTTATTAAAAGTTGACTTCTGACTCGTGTTTTGTTGTGTGTTGCTGTGTGTTTGCAGAGAGCTTTCAAATACATTGGTCTTTAAACCTTAACTTGCTAATGCACTATCAGCTGAAAGTCAATTTCATACCACTATGTTTGTTGGTAGTAAATTTCCCAGCATATTTTCTGTAAAAAGTCAACTTGTTAGAACGCTGTTTGTTCAAATTTACCTTTCCTTTCTATTTGATGTTAAAAGTGAACTTTCTTTGTTAAAAATTAAAATTCTAATACAATAATTTATGTAAGTCAAATTTTTAGAACCTGGTTATTTTAAACTGCACAGTTTAGCGCCAAGTGTGTGTGTGTGTGTGTGTGTGTGTGTGTGGGTGTGTGGGTGTGTGTGTGTGTGTGTGTGTGTGTGTGTGTTTTTAAGCCAACTTTTTATTTAACTTCCTTTCCATCTGCTTTCTGTCAGCTTCTCATTACACACGTAAGTGAAAGTTAACCTTTAAGTTTTCTCCTCCCTGGCAGTCAACTATTTAGCATTTTGGTCATTGAAACTTAATTTTCCAGCAGGCTGTTTGTTGAAAATCAAGATTTATTTTATTATAAACGTGTACGTATCACAGACCCCAGGCACATTATGTACATTAATAGAAAATAACATGTAATTAATGAAAACAACATCATACAACAAACTTAACTTATTTTGCACAAATATGCACGACGATACAAACGAAATTTTGGAGCAGAAAAACACAATGTCAATATGAAAAGAAAAAAAAATGAAACTTATCTTTGCTTAATTAGAAGCAGTGACGGCTTCTGTCTTGAGCCGGTGGCCTCTCCGTATGGGTTCTATGCCCCTTGGTGGGGTTGGGGTGGGAGGGGGGGGGGAAATGACCTATGTTCCCCTAACAAACATGTGGCTAAAGGCAACTAATTAAAGGTTTAATACAATCGTATATGTTGAGTCGTAGAAGCAGACATCACTGCCTAGCTGTAAACCACAACATACACGTAGCAACCATTCCTTGAATGGTAAACGCGCCGGCGTTTCTCTTGTCATTAGTAATTGTGTTTCATAGGCAAGCTGACTAGTTCTATTTCTAGTCAGGGATGATTTTGTTTCATGTATGTTTTGGTCTTTATAACTTTGTGCCTGATAACTTTCTTCTGTAAACCCAGAATATATCTCAAGGCGACAAAGAGTAGTGTATGTCCCACGGACTCTGGGAGTCCTCTGTAACATATTCTGCTAAGAAGTCACCCCTCTTACCCCCTTCTCCAAAACTGCGATTTTCACATAGATAAAGCACTGATTATAAAAACACATAATGCGATTATTTCACACATCTCCGTTCTCCAACTAGGTAATGCAATGTTAGCTACACATTTGACTGATTGACTTTCTACCCCACCAGGACATCACACAAGCGATAAATACCCGTTGGCACAATGTGCCACCATGTGGATGAGGATCACTGTGGAGAGGTCCCAGAAACTGCGTTCAGCCAATTGGCCATATTTATGGTCTGGCTATATTGCGGTCTCCGGCGAGAGCCAGTGTGGGGCTTCAAATAACGAACAATTTCAGTCTAAAAAGGACGGTGAATACACGCTACACATTTACATTCGAACCAATTTTATACGAGGTCGTCAAATTGCCTTGAAAGGGGAAACAACGCAGAATGTCAATTTAATTTTAGGATGGCTTCTTGCCCCTGCTCTGTTGCTTCGGGCTGGTAAAAATAATAGTGAATAACAAAACACAAATGTTACGAAACACAATGACACCGTAGGACAAGCAAAATCCAGGAGATAAAAAACATGAAATTGGTTGGACAAAACCAACATCCGCCGTAAATTCTCAGACAGTAAGCGGAGCTCCGCACACCAAGAGCCTCTGGACTCTCTTCAAATTCCAGCTGACGAACATCATCTCTGCGATTCGTCAGTTGGTTCACATCCTCGTCATAACTGTTGTCATAAATGGGCATAACTGTGGAAATAGTGGACATCCAGGGCGTGGTCTCGGTCGCAGCAGGTGGCAAAGCTGTTTGAGTTTAAAAAAAAAAAAAACATTTAAGCCACCGTTATCTTAACAATTTAAACAACATGGAAGCATTTACTTCTAACAGGTATTCCTATGCTTGGTGGAAGCAAATTAGAGAGGGAATATAGTGGTACAGGAGAAAACAAGAACTAAGCCTCTGAAATTGATCATGTTAAATACATGGACAATGTATGCTCTAATCGTCAAGGCATTCTCCTAACGCGAACTCATCTTGCTTTCTCACACTCGCCATCGACGCCTGCGATGCTTCCAGTGCGTGTATAACAGAATGTAACACCATTGTCTAGAAACAAAAACAACAACAAAAAACAATATAAATATGTCGATGTGTAGATTCTGTGGCGCAATGGTTTGCTTCCTTGCCTTTCAAGTCAGTGGTCAGATATTGATCCAAGCAGAAACAAGAATAATGATTTGTGATCAGTGCGGCTAAGGGACTGACTCGGCATTATGAAATAGCTACAAGGATATTATGATAATTTTTAAAAAATATTTTATTTTTCTGCTTCTTTTTCTTCTTCTTTTTCTTCTTCTTTCTTTTTCTTTATCATCATCATCATTATCATGATTACAGCTAATTTCTTTTTCATATGATTTTTTTTTTAAAATAGCAATCCAGGATCACCTCGGCAAACGCACAAGTGATGATGATGATGATGATGTCTCTGCAGGTTTAGGACTTTTTGTATGGTACGTGTGGTGTCTGATACAAGCGTACGTGTCTCGCGCAGGTAGTCTGCGAAAAACACATTTGGTTAGTCGCGTATCCTTTACAGGACGCTGTAGAACCAACCCCAACAGCCCCTGGCTGTTGTGTGCTTTTTCTAGGCAAATTTACGTCCCGTAGTTTGCCATTGTTTGCTGGACGGTCGGCTGCCTGTCGTTAAACCAGCAGACACCACGTGCGCAAATGTGGATACAAGATAACAGCACACCACAAAATTCAACATACAACTTTGTTGTACACGTGTCTTCTGTGTTAACGATAGTTGCGTATCCTTTACAGGACGGTGCAGAACCATCCCCAGCAGCCCCTGGCTGTTGCATGGTTTCTCTAGGCAAATTTTACATCCAGTAGTTTGCCATTGCCTACTGGACGGTCGGCCCCCGATACTACATGCAAGGCGCATGGCGCGCAGTTGGGATAGAACCCGGTACCCCGGCATTACGAAGCGTTCGTATCGACTTAGCCACAGAGCGTCTTCTGTGTGGACGGATTAAATTAAAAGTTCGGGCTTGTTTCATAAAAAAAAAATTCTAACGCCCATGCAGGAACACTAGTTTCCAACACACTGGAACAGTTCCCAGTATCGTGTTAAATTAAATGTTCCTAAAACCAGAGAGTTTGGCCGGCACACTACGCTCAGAAGAAAGGCAAGACGGACATACAACCAGACTACTGTTAGTTGCGTATCCTTTACAGGACGTTGCAGTACCAACCCTAACAGCCCCTGGCTGTTGTGTGGTTTCTCTAGGCACATTTACGTCCCGTAGTTTGTCATTGCCACTGGACGGTCGGCTCTCTTGATACCACTGTCGAAATCAACGCAAGGCGCATGGCCTGCAGCTGGGATCGAACCCGGCATCCCGGCATTACGAAGCGTTCGCATCGACTTAGCCACAGAGCCGACAATCAGACTATGACCGGCACCATTATTATTGGAACTCTGCGCTGGCTGGTGAGGATGGGGACGGAGCGCGTATGTAAATGCTTGACTCAACTCAACTCAACTGGAATAGTTCGCAACACATTATGATAGCTCCAGACATACTGGTTTAGTTCATAAAGTCCGGGGTATTGCTACCACAATGGGAACAAATGATGCTTTCCTTTTAGGTTCAGGTTTGATTCGCAAATTTCCTGATTCTCTTTTCGGTGCAGAAGTTCGCATTTTTCAAAATCATTAGCAGGTGCCAAGTCGAAAGACGCCTGCCTTGATGGTAATATATCTGAAACGACCAAATGTTGGATCAGTCTTTGTATTTGTCTCCATAGTTTCATATCAGTAAACTATCCAGCTATTTTATCATCGTGTCTTCGTCGTCTTTCCTTCTTTCATTTACCCAAGACATCAGAATCTTGATCACTCGCCAGAATGGCAGACTTGGGAATTTTAAGATCGGCACAGCAAAAAACGAGACGCACACCGGACACGTCAGAAGACTTGTTAATCAACATAAAACTGGTACTATTAGCCATCGGACGTTGGGGTTCATACTGAGGGGAGGCTCTGAGCACCCATGGACATGTCCGGAGTGCAATGATGATAACCCAACTAACTAACTAACTAAATAACTATCAGAATCTTCTGCCTTCTTCTTTCCCTTTGTGCTTCTTAAGTTGACCTTTTACTTCTTTTCTAAGCGTTTTCTGTTATGCTGTAGCGATTCTACATTTTGCAATATCTTTTTCTTACTATGTTCTCATGCTTCCTTGACATAAATCTCCGTAGAAACTGTTATATGGGTGTTCTCATTGTTATAGCTAAAGAATCAGATGCTTTTTTTTAACGAATTATATGACTCATTTATGTTCATGTAGTCTTCTAATTTTTTCTTTTTCTTCTTCTTCTTCTTCTTCTTCTTCTTCTTCTTCTTCTTCTTCTTCTTCTTCTTCTTCTTCTTCTTCTTCTTCTTCTTCTTCTTCTTCTTCTTCTTCTTCTTCTTTTTCTTCTTCTTCTTCTTCTTCTACTTCTTCTTCTTTTTCTTCTTTTTCTTCTTCCTCTTCTTCTTCTTCTTCTTCTTCTTCTTCTTCTTCTTCTTCTTCTTATTCTTCTTCTTCTTCTTCTTCTTCTTCTTCTTCTTCTTCTTCTTCTTCTTCTTCTTCTTCTTCTTCTTCTTCTTCTTCTTCTTCTTCTTCTTCTTCTTCTTCTTCTTCTTCTTCTTCTTCTTCTTCTTCTTCTTCTTCTTCTTCTTCTTCTTCTTTTTCTTCTTCTTCTTCTTCTTCTTCATCCTCTTCTTCTTCTTCTTCTTCTTCTTCTTCTTCTTCTTCTTCTTCTTCTTCTTCTTCTTCTTCTTCTTCTTCTTCTTCTTCTTCTTGTTCTTGTTCTTGTTCTTCTTGTTCTTCTTCTTGTTCTTGTTCTTCTTTTTCTTGTTCTTGTTCTTGTTCTTCTTCTTCTTCTTCTTCTTCTTCTTCTTCTTCTTCTTCTTCTTCTTCTTCTTCTTCTTCTTCTTCTTCTTCTTCTTCTTCTTCTTCTTCTTTCTTCTTCTTCTTCTTCTTCTTCTTCTTCTTCTTCTTCTTCTTCTTCTTCTTCTTCTTCTTCTTCTTCTTCTTCTTCTTCTTCTTCTTCTTCTTCTTTTTCTTCTTCTTCTTCTTCTTCAGCATTCCGACTCCTTGAGGTTCATTGCTGCAGAAATCACCCGTCTCCACTCACTTCACTGGCTGGCCTTCTCTTTCCAGCTGGTAACACCAAGTGTTCGCAGGTCTGTCTGGACATTATCTCTCCACTGTCTTCTTGGTCTACCTCGTGGCCTACAACCATTTATCTCTCTTGTGTATACCGTTTTTTACCCCTCTGTCATCTGAGATTAGGATTGTATCATCGCAGGAAAGTAAACATTTAGGAAGCAGCCTCGAGGGGGCAGATAGATAGTCTGTACTTCAGAAATACTCAGCTAGATTCAGCTATGCATTTTTGCGTTGATCTTGATAATGTCGTAGAGTCTCGCCCTTTGGAGGGGCAACGACAAACATCAGAACGTTGCCAGTGAAACAACAAACAGCCAACAATTGCCGGTTTGGTCTGTGAATTCCTGTGAAGGATTTAAGTACACGCAGGTTGTAGTATAGTATGCGGTATCTGACGTGGTTGTTTTTGTTTCGGCAGACGTAAAGTGTATTTTTTAAAAAATAGAGCTTTCGTGGGTTGCCGACCGTTGTACAGGCACAAATGAAAATATATATAAATGATAACGGATACATTTATAAGAAAATTTTTTTTTTGTAATTATATATTTTATTCACATCGATATTATAGGGGTGATGTCGATACTGATTGGGTAACGTAATGGCACATTGGCGCTGCATGTGGTTGCATAGTTCTATTTTGAGTCTTCGTTGAGCATAACTGAGAACCCGCTGAAGTCGTTTGCTAATCGATAATTTAAGAACACTCGATTAGACCATCCTATTTTCCTAGAGACAGATTAGAATTCCTTGTCAGTTCATATACCAGTGCTATACAAATTTTTCAAGTCATTTATTAGCATACAAGATGTCAACTCTTTGCTTGACCTTGCCAGGTCTTTCACTGTCCTTGTCAAATCGTTTACCGTTCGGTCAAGAAATTCAATTTCTTTGTCAAGTCATCCAATTTCCTTGCCATTTCGCAATGACAAAGTTTACTTTTTTTTTCCAACTTACAGAAACCTTTTCCATTCATTCAGTTCCAAAGAACTTGCCAGGTCTGTCGCAGCTCTCTCTCTCTCTCCCCCTCTCTCTCTCTCTCTCTCTCTCTCTCTCTCTCTCTTTCTCTCAATGTCTAAACAAGCCAACGCCATAAAACCATATTGAAGGTAGGCATATTTCGTCACCTGGGATCTACGTCGCGCATGTATAAAGTACTTACACGTAATACGCAAGGCGAAATTGTAATAACACCTACCTGTGTTGATATCTATAGAAATAAAACATTTACCTGTGTTTATCACGCTAACTGTTTCTGGTCCGAAGCCGACAGAGTTGCGGGCCCTGACTTTCACGACGTACTCACTGTTCTCTCTCACGCCGACAAGCTTTACAGTTCCCTCCCCTTGTTTATCCACATCTGAAATAATACATTCACCTATGATCAAGTGAAACATGTTAGACATAGTAGTTGGCGTCGTCTTTTTCTATTCCGGTGGAAAGCCATGGATGGGTACTTTATTTTTAATTCACGCCAAAGCAAAGGAAATCCCGGAGTTTTTACTCCGACATTCCAATATTTGTACAGACATGTTGAAAGCTGAGGGTTTCAGAAGCAGCAAGTCAACGTGTGAGGGTAACAATGTTCCTGAAATGACGCGTACTTACTGAAACGACTATTCTCACGGCCACTGGTCTTGCTAGTAACAGTCGACATCGCCATGGGTTATGATTGCTATACCTCCCTGCAGGACTATTTCAAACTGTCACCGGGCAGAACGGACGTGCGTTATAACTACTACTGCTAATCATTGCTATATCATCATGGCCAACAACAACAACAACACATATACTGCAAAACAACTAGTACTACTACTGCTACTATTTCTGAAGTTGCTGCTACTACTAATACAGCCAATACCACTAATAGTGCTTTTTTGTTGTTGCTGCGGTTTGAGGTTTCAACAACGGATCAACATCATTGCACACGGGTAGTAACACATAAGTGCTCCCTTCTTCTTCTAACTCAGGTCTGAGTCCGAAGAAGCTCAGCACAGTGCACAGGCTCTGTAGCACCGGTAGATTTTTAACTTCTAATTTTGCCCGGGCAGCGCTGTTAGGCTACTCTTTTCGATTTCCAACTGCAGGGGAATTTTTGACGTGAGCAACAATGCACACGGGCGTCCGACCTGACTACACAGAGACCCTGGGGAATTACTACAAGTCCAAGTTCAAGTGAAAAAAATCCTAGCCCTAACCGGGGATTGAACCCGGAACCTCTAGCACTCGAGGCGGACGCCATGCCCCGAGACCACGTAGTTCCCCCCTGGTTTTTTTTCTGTAACAGTAATTTTATGGTAAGTACCCGCCTTTCCTTGTTTAGACACTTTGTTGTGAGCGCAGGCATTCGTTCGTTTTTTTTTTTTTTTTTTGGAAACAAAATGTCAATACTATTACCAACAGCACCATTACCATCACTACTACTACTACCACCACCAACACTAATAGTACTATTTCTAGTACTACGACAACTACTACCCCTACCACCAACATCACCACTACAACAACTGTTATGACATGGTCTTACCTCCCATACGCTCATATTCTGGGTTGGGAACCCCGCCCACGTCGCCTGCAAGCTTGTATGAAGCTAGGACGTAGGTCGCTGGTGGTGTGTCTCTTTTTTTGGGGATCTTCACGGCCAGCACGACCTCGTCCGGCTTGACACTGACTGTTGAGAACTCCACAGCGGCAGGAGGGACTACATTTGGCAGGACAGAGATACAACAAATGACATGTGAATTCGTTAACCAACTTGGCAGGACAGAGATACAACAAATGACATGTGAATTTGTTAACCAACTTGGCAGGACAGAGATACAACAAATGACATGTGAATTCGTTAACCAACTTGGCAGGACAGAGATACAACAAATGACATGTGAATTCGTTAACCAACTTGGCAGGACAGAGATACAACAAATGACATGTGAATTTGTTAACCAACTTGGCAGGACAGAGATACAACAAATGACATGTGAATTTGTTAACCAACTTGGCAGGACAGAGATACAACAAATGACATGTGAATTCGTTAACCAACTTGGCAGGACAGAGATACAACAAATGACATGTGAATTCGTTAACCAACTTGGCAGGACAGAGATACAACAAATGACATGTGAATTTGTTAACCAACTTGGCAGGACAGAGATACAACAAATGACATGTGAATTTGTTAACCAACTTGGCAGGACAGAGATACAACAAATGACATGTGAATTCGTTAACCAACTGTAATTCAAATAATTACACACTAAAGGAAATACTTGGTCAACTTATTCGTACCACGAGAAACGACAGAATAGCTTTCACGAGCGATGCTAAGAAGAATGCTTGGCATTAAGTGGTAGGACAAGATTTTAAAAACTCAAGAAATTGAACCTTACTGTGAATAATGTCAGTCAGTCGGTTAGTTAATCATTCAAACAGACATACAGTCGGTCAGAGAGTCAGTCAGTCGGTTAGTTAATCACTCAGACAGACATTAAGTCGGTCAGAGAATCAGTCAGTCGGTTAATTAATCATTTATACAGACATACAGTCGGTCAGAGAGTCAGTCAGTCGGTTAGTTAATCATTCAGACAGACATACAGTCGGTCAGAGAGTCAGTCAGTCGGTTAGTTAGACTCTGGCCTGGGAATCAGAAGGTCGTGGGTTCAGATCTGAACGAAGCCGGATCAAAAATGACCTTGACTCCCAGGCCGATCCAGCGTTAAATGGGTAGCAGGTGAAGTCCAAGGAAGTAAATACGGTCGGTGTGAAATGAACACCAATTATTACTAATCCTAACTCCCCCCCCCCCCCCCTTTCCATAACATTGGACTTTCCCGGTAAACCCCCATGAAGTCTCGTAGTCACCGAGATAGGGTGATGTAAAATAAAAGAACAATGAGTGTGTTGGATAGTTACTTACAATTCTCACGGACATGGAATTCGTGGACCGGCGTTTTCCCGTATCTATTTTTAGCCCGACAGCTGTAGACCCCCGGGCCGCCATCGCTTCGATCTGTGATCTGTGAAAAGTCAATTATCTTTATGTCATGATCCATCGATCGATTGATTTATCAACTTCGGACAGCTATCTAAAAACTTAACCATACCATCCTGAATTTTAAAGAATCAATCTGAATGAGGAGAAATACTGACGTTTTAAAAGATCTGAACATCAAAGAAGATTGGCTAATAAACAGAATCTTGTCTCTGAAGCTGAAGTACTTTTAGCATTATCAAGTGCCAAGGCGGATTGGAAAAAGTAATAGTAGAATGGATGGTTCCAGGAAGGAAAGGTAGGGGCCAACCAACACGAAGCTGGGCACATGATATGACTCGTTGACTATGAAAGTACATGAGCTGGCTAGAGATCGAGTTTCTTTCGGGCAGAGCGTGAAGAGAGCAACATTTGTCAAGGGATCTGCTACATGGGGAATCTGAAATCTGGATTATGACAGACCAGCAAAGCAGATCCCAAATACCCCATTCAATCTCTAAAAACTGTGTAATTAGGGCCCCCGTGACGACTTCGTGGGTAAGTAAGGTACTACAAGACGCAAGAACAAGGGTAATAACTCTCTTAGCAAGAGTAGGAAAGCAGGTCACACAAGCCTGGGGTAGCCCTGACTGGTGCCCTTATAGCTTCTTTAATGATTGAACGGGGTATCTGGGGTCTGCCATTTTAGTTTCTTATCCAGACTGTGATCTGTTTTAAATCCCGGATGGTAAACCTTCAGGTATGAGCACCAGGAGGAGAACCAGATCTCTGGAACAGCGATGGTGAAACAATATCCCACGCCCAGACTGGACTGCATATTACTTCATAACCATAGGTATGCCATAATAGGCCTGTCTTATACATAACATAACATAACATAACATAACATAACATAACCCTTGACCCATCAGGGTCGTTGAGGTGTACTGATGAAAGCCCTAGCACATAAAACCTACCATCTGTTTCTGTCTTCTGCTTGGTGAATAGGTGTTTGATAACTTAGTCCTGGCCATTGATTGATGTTGTCATTCCAGGTTCTTCTTTGCCCTCCTCTTCTTCGACTTCCCTCCCCCTTCCCCTTCTACACCTCTTATACGTTCGAACCTAAGTCGATGCGAACGCTTCGTAATGCCGGAGTACCGGGTTCGATCCCACCTGCGGGCCATGCGCCTTGCGTTGGTTTCAACAGTGGTATTAGGGAGCCGACCGTCCATTAATTAATGGCAAACTACTGGACGTAATTTTGCCTAGTGAAACCATACAACAGCCAAAGGCTGATAGGGTTGGTTCTGCAACGTCCTGTAAAGGATACGCAACTAACCTATACGTTCCAACGAACGAACGAACTTTATTTTTAAATGGTCGTACATTGGGCACGCAGGCTTCCAAAAACTCATCTTTCACACAGCAGTTAAATTTTTATTACTATAGCATGCTATTCTTTGGCCATGTAATGAGAAAAGAGGCATTGGAAAACATCGTGACAACTGAAAAGACCAGTGGAAAGAGGGGTAGAGGCAGACCAAGAGAGAAGATGCTGGATGGGCTGAAACGATGGCATGGAGGGATATCATTAGGAGAGCTGTTCCAGGCAACCAGGGATCGCCTGCCGGTGGATAGCGCTGATGTTGTTGATGCCATCATGGAGATAGGACAATCTAGAGACTCATAGAGCAGCGGGTCGACATCAGTGATAAAAATACGAGAGCTGGCAGTAAAGTTTGCCGCAGCTATTCACAAGAGACACTCCGAACGTGAACAAGTTCTGGTTAACCAGTAGAGGACTGACACGATTAATAGCCCGACGCTGTTGTATCTGTTGAAAAGGGATTCTGAGCACCTAGTTACGTGTCCGGAGTGCCTGGGGATAACAGAACTCAAAATGCATAATGTTCATCACCAAGCAGCAAGTCCTTTAAACAAATAAAAACATCACGATCATGAAGGGATGATGAACAACCACTCGCCTCCCCTCTCGCCCAGGGGGAGGGGGGGGGGGGCAATTGTTCCGCTCTGTGAGCTTGCAAGCCCTGAGTTCCCCAAGCCGCTATACCCCTTCAGTTCTGGCGCTCTTAGTGTCATTGTAAATATTATTCTAATGATAATGATGATGGCGACGATGATGCTGATGATGATGATGATGACAAACTGGTGAACATCAGTGGCGAGATGTGCATGTAATGGTTGTAATCGCATATTACACTTCCCACAGCTTTTTAAAAAAAAAGCATTATTTTACTATTAAGCTGCTCGGTCTACGTCTAGAGCACATCAAAAAGAACGTTCACTGCATGCTTACCCCGCTCATACAGAAACTGTAAGTTGTGAAAGCTTCTAGTTGCACACGCATACTCCCACAGCAAAGCGACGAGAAGGAAAATATCACGTGATACTCTCTCTAGTGTAATCGTTACCTGCTAACCTTCACACATGTGAACCGCCACTGGTGAATATAATGGTTAATGAAATGCTTACCAGTAAGCACAAAAACAGTATAAGCGGGTGACTTACTATACACGATGACGTAATCTGAGAAGCCTCTTCCCACTCCTCCAGTTTGTTGCAGGTAAACCGTTTCCTGTTCCTGAACCACGTGATCTCCGGGACATCATTACCAGCTACGACACAGGATAAGTTGGTGGGGTGTCCCTCCCACCATACTACGGGTTGTAGGGATGAATGGTCGGACAGTACTTTCGGCGAAACTGTAGGAAGGCCCAAATATATATATATATATATATATATATATATATATATATATATATATATATATATATATATATATACAATTGTAATGACGTTATCAGCTAAGCCCGGGAGAAAAATGATGGTTGTTTGTCCGCTTCTGGCTTCTACTTTTGTTGCAGAACTCGAGTTTTGCGTGCACATCCGTTTTACAGATCTGGCGTACATACATGTAAACTGTTGGTTCATCGCCTACCAGGAAGACACTCTCCAACTTCAGAGGAAAAATCTCTTTACGATATGCTTATTAGGAAGGCAGTAGGTCTTTTCTTGTTGTCCCCCAAATAAGAGCAGCACGGGGACTATGGAACTGAAGACAACTACATCTTCTAGCAAGGTTACTGTTTATTACTTTCAAAACATTTATTAGCGTTATGACATTTTGGAGACCAGGTTCGAATCCCCAGTAAGGTCGGGGATTTTTTCTGTCAGGGCAAAATAAAATCGTCACCTGCGACAGCACTAGCAATGGCGCCGTAAGTTCTCAAGCTAAAAGACCCTCCTACCTACATCGCAAAAGTGGTAAAATACTGGTAGTAATTGCAACCAGCAGTTTTATGAAATTTCCTTTTTGTCCTTTTTGTATTCTTTTTATATCACGTGTTTTTTCCTTCTAATTTTCTGCCTCCAGATTTGCATTCTGAAAGATTAAAACCCAGTGACTCAAAGAGCTCTATCCGGGTGAGAATCCTACAGATGCAAATCCCAGAAACCATTTTCAACCGTATAACCCAGTCAAATAATGACACATCGAGGTTTCGATGTAAGGCGCAGTCTACCGGCCGAGTGGTTTTTTATCGCCATGTTCTTCATGCCTGTTCGAAACACGGAAAACAAGTGATTGCAGAAAGGTTGAGCGTCAGAGAAGAAATAGACTAAATACACAAGGTGGCAACAGGTTAAGTGCGTATCCTTTACAGGACGTTCCAGAACCAACCCCAGCAGCGCCTGGCTGTTGTGTGGTTAGTTTCTCTAGGCAAATTTACGTCCAGTAGTTTGCCATTCCTTCTGTACGGTCGGCCCCCTGATACCACTGTCGAAACCAATGCAAGACACATAACCCGCAGCTAGGATCGAACCCGGCACCCCGGCATTACGAAGCGTTCGCATCGACTTAGCCACAGAGCCGACTAAGGTGACAACAGTGGTCCTGAAATCCGATGCCCTAATTGTGGTAGACTTTTCTTAACGCGGGCGGGCCTTGCTAGTCACACTCGCCATCGCCATGGGCTGTGATTTCCATTTCTCACCACAGCACCACAGCACAAATAACACTATCGGCTGGAAATACGGAACGCAGTCAACCAACTCCTCGTGTTTGTCAAACATTGTATGAATTTTGTTGTTGCTTGATCTCTTCCACCATTTACCTCACCGATGTGTTCGGGGGAGATGTAAGGATCGTTTGTGTGCGTTTTCCAATGCATTGTACAAGTTGGTGGTCATTTCTGTTAGGTTGATTCTGATGATGTCGCTCCATCTCTTGCGTGGTCTTCCCCTTGCTCTGTGTGCATTTTATTTCTTCAGCGTGGCTCTCTGTGGCAGCTGGTACCAGGGCATTCTCGTCAGGTGGCCAAACCAACTCATTTGTTATTCTTAAATGAATCAGGGGGCTGTGTGGTCTGCGTGGTCTAGAGGTATGGTGTCCGCCCCGGGTGCTATAGGTTTCGGGTTCAATCCCAGGAAAGGGCTGGAATGTTTCCACGTGGAATCGGACTTCTAGTAACACAACATGATCTCTGGGTAGTGAAATCGGACGCCCATGTGCATTGTTGCGCACGCAAAAAATTCTTTGGCGGTTGGAAATCGAAAAAAGTAGCCTAACGGATACAAATTTAAAGATAAAAATCTACCCAAATTATTTCAGGATCCTCGCCGGTGCTACAGAGCCTGCGCCCTGTGCGGAGCTTTTTCTGACTCAGACTTGAGTTACAAGAAGAACGGAGCACTTATGGGTTACTACCTGTGTGCCATGTTGTTGATCCGTTGTTCAAACCTGAAATTTTTAATGGACTGTGTGCCTGGTTTCAGTCCAAGTCATCATCATTATCAGGTGCCTTGCCGACTGGCGTGGGCGATCATGCCTCTCTCTAATCTGCGATCTCCGGCAGCATGTATCAGTTCGTGTGCCGACACACATCCATGCCATGCAACAAGACTGTCAAGTATCTTCTTTCGTTGTCTTCCTCTATCACCCCTTACACAGATCTTTCCAGTGGTCACAACATGTTCTATTTTCCTTCTTCTCATAACATGGCCAAAAAACGATGACTGTCTCCTTCTGATGTCTGTGATAAGTTGTCTTCTGTCTCCCGCCTCTTTTAAAACTCTTTGTTGCTCTTTTTGGCTGTCCAAGGTATTCTATGCATTCTTCTGTAAAACTACATCTCTGAGGACTCAAGAAATTGTTTGGCCTGTCTACCGATTGTCCAGGATCAGTCCTAGTATGAAAGTGAAAATAAAATCAATGGCCACTTACAAAGAACATCCAAACTGGCTCTGACTCTGCTGTGTCCTATGTCATTGTAGGCAACACAGGCAAAATTGCCAAAGTCCTTGTAGTTGACCGGCTGAAAGTACAGCACACTCTCGTAGACGTGCTCGTCGACTTCTCGTTCAATGGAGTAAAGCCGTTTACTTGAGGTATTCTGAAATTTCACAGAAATTATAAGGTAACAAACGTGAATTGGCAGGCTAGATGTTGTGAGGGCCCTAGGGAAGAGAGTGAACATTGCAGAGGCACAGATAGATCATCACGGTCTGGGGAGAATAGCACTGCCAGGAGTTACCAGTGCATCTATCTGAGACTCAACACTCAACGGAAAGGCGAGACGGGTATGCAATCAGACTGTTACTAGTACCACCGGAAAAGGAACTCTTTACTTGCTGCTGAAGGTGGGAATGGAGCGCTTATGGAGTATCCTCAGTGCTATGATGTCAATTTCTAATTAAACTTTCAACTTTTCTATGTCTTCCTTTGACTTTTGCAACCTAGATAATATTTAGGATGTTTCGACACACAAAGTGCAGCGTCAAATGATGAGACTGCTTTAATTATGGCCTAAACAAAAACGCCATCCATTAAGCGAAGCATATCATCTACACAGGCACCACAGATCTAAGATTTGGACAACATGCAACACCGACCGATGATTTGACGAAATTGAATAAATCCGCCAATTTTGGCCAACCAGTAAAAGAGCTTGACTAAAATGTTAGGACCAGTGTTGCTACTTTGGATGTTTTACATCAAGATTTAGATGTTTTTCTTGCATTTAGATGGCGTTTTTGACGTTTAGATGGTAGATGTTTTATTAGATGTTTATTATTTGGAGTAAATTTATCAAATCTAACCTAAAAAACAGGATGAAATTCGACCTTTTAAATGCTATCTTGACAATAACATTCGGCCTGATAAGAGTAGGAAAATGTTGTTCCACTTATCAGCTCCCTGATTGAGTATTAAAAGAAATTGGAGCAGCTAAAGCATACCAGAGTCATTTTGGATCTGAAGCTTCAACTTCATAATCCAAGCTAAGTTTATCCCGTGGATCTTGTAAGGCAGACTTTAGTAAAGATGAGGACATGATTCTATAGAGTAAGTCATATCAATTGCTATGTAATTTGTGACTCTTTCCATGTGGATGTTTTTTCTAGATGTTTTTCCACGCAAATTTAGATGTTTTTAGATATTTTTGACTCCGTTTTGGATGTTTTTTGTCAAAGAAAAGTGGAAACACTACGGTTTAGCGGGGGGGGGGGGGGGGGGGCGTAAAAGTAAGTAACCGACATTAAACATTACAGGATTAATATTTAGACGGAGAATTAGATAGGGGGCTGAAGAATTGGCTAGTGGGATGGGGAATTGGCTAGGGGGCTGGCGAATTGGCTAGGGGCTGGGGAATTTGCTAGGGCGCTGGGGAATTAGATAGGGTGCTGGGGAATTGGCTAGGGGGCTGGCGAATTGGCTAGGGAGCTGGGGAATTGGCTAGGGGGCTGGGGAATTGGCTAGTGGGCTGAGAATTGGCTGGGGGGGGGGGCGGCTGAAGAATTGGCTAGGGGGCTGAGAAATTGGCTAGACGGCTGGAGAAATGGCTAGACGGCTGGAGAATTTGTTAGACGGCTGGAGAATTGGCTAGACTGATGAAGAATTGGCTAGAGCCCTGGAGAATTGGCTAGACGCCTGGAAAATTGGCTTGAGCAGTGTTTCCTAAACGTTTCTTAGTCGCAGCGCCTTTTATCTAAGTAAAAATATGAATAAAAGAGAAAAAAATCCTGTATCTTAGAATTAAAAAAAAATAAAAAGGATATAATGACAAATTCATCCAAACAGTTTTATCAATCGCATTAAAGACTACTAACAGTAAATCGCCACTATTTTTTTTTTTCTGTCTTTTTCTAGTTTTTTCAACCACTTTAAGTGTAGCTTGGCTCTGTGGCTAAGTCGATAGGAACGCTTCGTAATGCCGGGATGCCGTGTTCGATCCAAGATGAGGGCCATGCGCCTTGCGTTGGTTTCGACAGTGGTATCAAAGAAGACGAATGTCCAGTAAGCAATGGCAAACCACTGGACGTAAATTACCTAGAGAAACCACACAACAGCCAGTGGCTGCGGTGGTTGGTTCTGCAACGTCCTGTAAAAGCTACGCAACTAATCTTTTAAGTGTAAGTGCGCCGCGAATTCTTTTAGCCCCACAAGGGTGCCGCAGCGGAAAAAAAAAAAATTGAGAACCCCTGTCTTGGAGTTTGCGCTCAGGGGTAGCCAGAAAAGGCATATCTCTCCCAGACTGACTGTATCTATCACGGAATCAAGACCGAAGGGTTGCCATGTCTATAGTACCCAGCCAAAGGGTTGGCAACTCATGGTTTCTGGATATTAAAAAGCAAATCCCTTAGATCGATTATCCATGCCTCTTTTTACTGACTGATGACACGACTAGTTACACAGACTAGCTAATCAACTACTTGGTCTGCTACCCCTACATATGACTGAAGCTTGTTATCAAAAGCATTACTGTTATCACGTGAGTTATCAGGCCCAATAATGCTTCACTAATTACTTAACGTTACTCTGAAGTGTCACGCGAGGGAGATATTCATTAGCTTCTGCACCGACCACGCCAGCAGGCTAATTACTGGATTACACGCTCGCTAGTAGAGCAACGAAAACAGACTCGGAATCTCATAAGGAAAGAAGACAGGAGGATAGAGAGAAAGAAGGAAGGAATGAAGAAGAAAGAGGTTTGAGGTTTGAGGTTTGAACAACGGATCAACATCATGGCACATAGGTAGTAACCCATAAGTGCTCCGTTCTACTTCTAACTCAAGTCTGAAGTGGCTCAGCGCAGAGCACAGGCTCTGTAGCACCAGCAAGGATCCTAAAAAATTTTGGATAGATTTTTAACTGTAAATTTTGCGCGGGCAGCGCCGTTAGATTACTCTTTTAGATTGTTTAACTGCCAAAGGTTTTTCTAACGTGCGCAATAATACACAGCCTTCACCGGGGCTTGAACCCGGGACATTTAGCACTCGAGGCGGACATCCTACCTCGAGAACACGCAGCCCCCTCAGGAAGAAAGAAAGAAAGAAAGAAAGAAAGAAAGAAAGAAAGAAAGAAAGAAAGAAAGAAAGAAAGAAAGAAAGAAAGAAAGAAAGAAAGAAAGAAAGAAAGAAAGAAAGAAAGAAAGAAAGAAAGAAAGAAAGAAAGAAAGAAAGAAAGACAAAAGCACGAATAAATAAACGAAATGATAAACAAAAATGCACGACTTAAAACATATTAAACATAAAGGAAAACAAAGAATAAAACAGAAAGCCCGAATTAGGGGGAAGGCGAGAGGGGGGAAAAGGTGGCGGGGGTCCTTTTCAAGAAAAACGCAAATTAGGAATAAAGGAATAGACGAAGGATATGGTGTACAGACAGAAAGACAGAGACAGACAGACAGACAGACAGACAGACAGACAGACAGACAGACAGACAGACAGACAGACAGACAGACAGACAGACAGACAGACAGACAGACAGACAGACAGACAGACAGACAGACAGACAGACAGACAGACAGACAGACAGACAGACAGACAGATAGATAGATAGATAGATAGATAGATAGATAGATAGATAGATAGATAGATAGATAGATAGATAGATAGATAGATAGATAGATAGATAGATAGATAGATAGATAGATAGATAGATAGATAGATAGATAGATAGATAGATAGATAGATAGATAGATAGATAGATAGATAGATAGATAGATAGATTAGATAGATAGATAGATAGATATTGTTTTAATCAAAGAAAGAAAGAACATAGAAAGGAAAAAGGACGAAAGACAGACAGACACACACACAAGCACACACACAGAGGGACGTACATACATGAAGTCGCATATGCGTGGAAATAGACACCATGACTGACAGGCGCACATTCGGACGGACAGACAGACATGTACAAAGACATGAAAAGACAGACCTGCACACAGACATACCTCCAGAACACGCATAAGAACACATAACATACAGGTCAAGAACCGTTCTTGTACAGGCAGACATACAGCAGACAGACCGACAGACATATAGACAAGTAGACAGACAGAGAAACTGACATACGGACGGAAGGACAGACAGACTCACATTGCCTTGTGTTGTGGTATCAGCCCGGATCGGTGGATTATTCTTGATCAACCATTCAAAGAAGGGCCGAGGCACACCTCGTGACCGACAGACTAGCTGCTGATTGGTCAGCTCCATGACTGTTAGATTGGATGGACTGACGATCTGGGATTCTGGCTGAACTGTAATTATTTCAATCTTTCAGTTTTAATGGAACGAGTGTATACTGATGATGCTGATGGTGTTGTTGCTACTACTGCTGATATTGCTATACTACTGCAGTTACAGCTATTACTGCTCCTACTACTGCACGTACTACTACCATCACCACGACAACAACGACGACCACCACCACTACTACTACTGCTACTACTACTACCAGCACCACCACCACTACTATTACTATAACCACCACCACCACGACAACGACGGCGAATACTACTCCTACCACCATCATTATCACTACCACCACCACCACTACTGCTACTACTACTACTAATACTACAACCACCACTACAACCACCATCACAACTACTGCTGCTGCTACTACTACTACTACTACTACTACTACTACTACTACTACTACTACTACTACTACTACTACTACTACTACTACTACTACTACTACTGCCACCACCACCATCATCATTATACCCACTACTACTACCACCACCACCATCACCACTACCACTACTGCTAATACTACTATTACTGCTGATGCCACTACTGTTGCCGCTACAACTACAACAACTACTGCTGCTGCTAATGCTTCTACTACATCCCTGTCCTTCTCCTGAATAGACGACCTTCACGGGTTTTGCTATACCTGCCTGTGTTCCTGTGCGTCCTTTGCCAGATGTTTACCAACTCCTAAGCATTCCATTTGAATAATTGTGTTCTGTCTGTCAAGGCCATTCCACATGTCCCTATCTACTCGACCAAAAGCCTTTTCGTAGCTTACAACTTTGCAGGTCTTATCACGATCAGCTGCTTTTTCTATCATCATCATTATCATCATGTGCCCTGCCAACTGGCGTAGGCGCTCATGCGTCTGCACAGATCACGGTCCCTGGTTGCCTGGAACAGCTCTCTTGATGATATCCCTCCGTGCCATCGTTTCAGCCCATCTAGCATCGTCTCTCTTGGTCTGCCTCTACCCCCTTTTTCTCTGATCTTCCAATTGTAACGATGTTCTCCAATGTCCCTCTTCTCATTAAGTGGCCAAAGAACAGTGTTTGTCTCTTTCTGATTGTTGTATATAGAGATCTACTTTCATTAGCTTCTTTTAAGCAATCGAATGGTAATTGAAATTTAGAAAAAACGAAACATGCAACAGACAAACACACTGATGCACCAACATACCCATGACCAGCAAAGTATAGGTGGTCTTGTCCACTCCAAGCCGGTTTGTGGCGGTGCAGGTGTAGTTACCCACGTCGTCAATTTGTGGGGTGAACACTCTTAGAGCCCAGTTGTCTTTGTTGACCGAGTATCGCGAGGACAGCAGATGGACTGGCTGGGGAATATAGAGTACATGGATTCTTTTAGTGAAATCACTGACTGGCTGGGGAGAATATAGAGTACATGGATTCTTTCAGTGAAATCACTGACTGGCTGGGGAAATTATTGAGTACATGGATTCTTTCAGTTAAATCCCTGACTGGCTGGGGAGAATATAGAGTACATGGATTCTTTCAGTGAAATCCCTGACTGGCTGGGGAGTATAGAGAACATGGATTCTTTCAGTGAAATCACTGACTGGCTGGGGAGTATAGAGTACATGGATTCTTTTAGTTAAATTCCTGACTGGCTGGGGAATAAAGAGAAAATGGATTCTTTTAGTTAAATCCCTGACTGCCTGGGGAGTATAGAGAACATGGATACTTTTAGTTAAATCCCTGCCTGGCTGGGAAATATAGAGAACATGGATTCTTTTAGTTAAATCCCTGACTGGCTGGGGAGTATAGAGTACATGGATTCTTTCAGTTAAATCACTGACTGGCTGGGGAGTATAGAGAACATGGATTCTTTTAGTTAAATCCCAGACTGGCTGGGTAGTATAGAGTACATGGATTCTTACAGTTAAATCCCTGACTGGCTGGGGAATAAAGAGTCAAAGGATTCTTTTAGGTAAATCACTGACTGGCCGGGGAATAAAGAGTAAATGGATTCTTTCAGTTAAATCACTGACTGGCTGGGGAATAAAGAGTAAATGGATTCTTTTAGTTAAATCACTGACTGGCTGGGGAGTATAGAGAACATGGATTCTTTTAGTTAAATCGCTGACTGGTTGGGGAATATAGAGTATGTGGATTCTTTTAGTTAAATCACTGACTGGCCGGGGAATATAGAGTAAACTGATTCTTTCAGTTAAATCACTGACTGGCTGGAGAGTATAGAGTATGTGGATTCTTTTAGTTAAATCACTGACTGGCTGGGGAATAAAGAGAACATGGATTCTTTTAGTTAAATCCCTGACTGGCTGGGGAGTATAGAGAACATGGATTCTTTTAGTTAAATTCCTGACTGGCCGGGGAATAAAGAGTAAATGGATTCTTTTAGTTAAATCACTGACTGGCCGGGGAATAAAGAGTAAATGGATTCTTTCAGTTAAATCACTGACTGGCTGGGGAGTATAGAGTATGTGGATTCTTTCAGTTTAATCACTGACTGGCTGTGGAGTATAGAGAACATGGATTCTTTTAGTTAAATCCCTGACTGGCTGTGGAGTATAGAGTACATGGATTCTTTTAGTTAAATCCCTGACTGCTGTGGAGTATAGAGTACATGGATTCTTTTAGTTAAATTCCTGACTGGCTGGGGAGTATAGAGAATATGAATTCTTTCAGTTAAATCACCGACTGCCTAGAGAATATACAGTACATGGATTCTTTCAGTTAAATCACTGACTGGCTGGGGAGTATAGAGAACATGGATTCTTTCAGTTTAATCACCGACTGCCTAGAGAATATAGAGTACATGGAATCTTTCAGTTAAATCCCTGACTGGCTGGGGAGTATAGAGAACATGGATTCTTTTAGTTAAATCCCTGACTGGCTGGGGAGAATATAGAGTACATGGATTCTTTCAGTTAAATCACTGACTGGCTGGGGAGTATAGAGAACATGGATTCTTTTAGTTAAATCACTGACTGGCTGGGGAGTATAGAGTACATGGATTCTTTCAGTTAAATCCCTGACTGGCTGGGGAATAAAGAGTAAATGGATTCTTTCAGTTAAATCACTGACTGGCTGGGGAGTATAGAGTACATGGATTCTTTCAGTTAAATCCCTGACTGGCTGGGGAGTATAGAGAACATGGATTCTTTTAGTTAAATCACTGACTGGCTGGGGAATATAGAGTACATGGATTCTTTCAGTTAAACCACTGACTGGCTGGGGAATATAGAGTACATGGATTCTTTTAGTTAAATCACTGACTGGCTGGGGAATATAGAGTACATGGATTCTTTCAGTTAAATCACTGACTGGCTGGGGAATATAGAGTACATGGATTATTTCAGTTAAACCACTGACTGGCTGGGGAATATAGAGTATGTGGATTCTTTCAGTTAAATCCCTGACTGGCGGTGGACCAACAGGTGAAGAAAAGACGCTGGCATCGGCTAGAACATAGGTTGAGAAAACCTGATAACAATATAACTAGAATGTCTTTTCACTGGAACCCACAGGTGCATAGAAATAAAAGCAGACCAAAAAAGCACATGGAAAAGGCAGCTAGAGAGTGAAATTAGAAAGATGATGATGATCTAGTGTCAGCTGCGTGCATTGGGGACTGATAGACAAGCTTGGCTTGAGTTGGTCGAGAGCTTATGCTCCATTGGGGACAAAAGACAGAAAAGGAAGAACTGTGGCGCCCTGATTAAATAAAGCAGTACTGAAGTAATGCCTCGGTTATGTAAAACAGTGATGTATTAGCCCTTTGGTTACACTAAAATGTATAAGTAATCAAAAAGAGGAATTTTAGTCCATGAAGGGAACAAATAAATAACTCACTGTGCCATCTTTGTCCCATGTGATCGTGGGCGCCGGGTCACCGGTGGCCTTGCACTGCATGTATGCTTTAACACCGGCTGCTACCTTCAGTGTGGCGCCAGTCATGGACATTTTGGGAGCTGAAGTTTACAAAATATACATTAATTTAAGTGGTTAAGTTGGTGTGTGCGTGTGTAGGTGTGTGTGTCTGTGTGTATGTGAGTGTGTGTGTATAAGTGTGTGCGTGTGTAGGTGTGTGTGTCTGTGTGTATGTGAGTGTGTGTGTATAAGTGTGTGCGTGTGTATGTGCAAGTGTGTGAGTGTGTTTGTGTGTGTGTGTGTGTGTTTAATATCGATTCCCATATACCCATCCGTTCACTCACCCATACACCCACCCATACACCCACCCATACACCCACCCATACACCCACCTGTCGCATGACAGAATCCACACATCTGCCGCAGTAGGGAGGTCCACAGGCTGAACACCCCCAAAATCGTCACCGTAACTATGATTTAGTATGGGCCGAAAATAGTTATATAGTTCGTTTGTTGTGGGGGAGTTCTGATAGTAAAGATTCCTATAAATCACTATGATATTGACTCTTTTAGGCTTTTAGTGTCAAATTACACGTTAGGACACATTTTCTACGCCTATTCTAAATAAATTGTCTGACCACTGCACTGCATTCGTGAGCGGGATTCGTACGCTAACTGCTGTAGTTAGGGGACGTGTTTGTGTGCGTCACTTCTCTATAGTCCGGTCTTGGAGGCAGTCGCTGTCATTGTGTGTCGCCAATTGACCGTTAAAAAGACAAGATTCTTCATTCTCTTTTCATTTATCATGGGTGAGTTTTCATAGGGACTTTTAATTGAACATTGGTGCTCAAAGTGTCTGTGAGGTAGGTAAGTAAGGTCAGCAGATTGATAATGCGAATCTGTTTGACTACGATTCTTGCGATGGAAGACGGCGAAGGGAGCTCCGGATTGGAATGCACTTTCGGCTGACATTTCTCGGAGAATTCTTCGAAATGGCCTTCTAAACCTCTTTGGATTAATCAATCCACATATCTGGAGTGGGTTTGTGGTATTGATAACTTTGTATGATTAGTTATTTGCTGTTATTCGGTATCAGAACTTGGTAAGTCGCTGAACCGTTGTGAATGACAAGAAGCTTCTGGGCAGGCACGACGTCATATCCGCTGTTGCTAGGGGACTTCGTAACCACAACAAGCTTAGACTGTCGTATTGTTTTCAGAACATATTTCAGTCGGTCTTAGTTTTGACTTCATCGCCTATCCCTTATCTTCCCTATTAACGGAAAAGGTATTTTAGAGGGGAGGGTAAATAATGGAGATCTGTCTAACCTTCACTACAGAACTGAATCCAGGAACTATTCGAGTTAATGATCTAGTGCTCACTCTAGGAAACTAAATGGATTCCAAGATAGAGGTAACCAACCTTCATGGTTTGGAATAACCTCAAGTATATCTGAGCATTGGGAGGGAGTAAGGACTTTGATTAACTGGGTGCGTTGGGTACGGTTCGCTCATGGCTTTTGCTTTGCGTTTTTCAGGATTTATGAAGATCCAACAAGTGTCCGTGTCTGGTAGAGTGGTTTCATCTGCCACCACCCAATAAGCAATTGACGTGTGGTGAATTGCTTGGCTGATTGTGTGGACGATACTTGAGTCGATATCGTCCGATCTCGAGGTGATCGTCCTTGATCAATGTCAGAAGCTGCTTCGTTCCTGTGAAGTCGTGCTGTGAAGTACGACAGTGTGAAACTCCATTTCGGCATCTTGAGAAGCCGCTTTGTTCCTGTGAAGTCGTGCTGTGAAGTACGGCAGTGAGAAACTCCTTTCCGGCATCCTGAGAAGCTGCTTCGTTCCTGTGAAGTCGTGCTATAAAGTACGGTAGTGTGAAACTCCATTCCGGCATCCTGAGGAGCTACGAGATCTAATCAGATAAGTCGAAGCAATAATTGTGAAATGGCTCGTCTCCAAATGGGCCTTAGTGATCAATTCTTCACCTCCGCCATGATGATCCAGGAATTGGAAGTGTCTACGTAGAAAAACTCTTTCTCTTGTGTTAGATTTTCAAAGATTTGAACATTCTTGTTGAATTCTTCCTGCTACTTTTTGGCAACTTTGTTATGGTGAATTAATTACATTTAAGTTATAGTTCATCAGTCTTCTAGTCAGTAGAATAGTTTCATTTTATTGGGATTCATTATCGTATTCAGAAAGGTGGTCTTGTCTTGTCAAATTCACTGTTGATTACTTGTTCGACTGGGTTTCCATTGATTCCCAGTCTGGGGGCATATAAGTGGTGGGGACGTCTGGCCGAGAGGTCCCCAAGTGTTCATAATAACCCTGTGGAGTCAGAGCTCGTGTCACCTCATCCCTGAGACAGGTTGAATGGAAAGTTTGAACCGAGGGTTAGGCCTCTAGACGAACGAGAGCCACCATTCAAAACTCTCCTGTCTCAGAGCACCTGAGGGATTTGTGAAAATATTCCGTTAGTAAAGGTGCGCGACAAAACTGCCATACGACACCACCCCTACACCCACCCATACACCCACCCATAAACCCACCCATTCACTCACCCATACACACACCCATACACCCACCCATACACCCACCCATTCACTCACCCATACACCCACCCATACACTCACCCATACACCCACCCATTTAATTACGTTTACTCGTTGGGACATCCATTCATACTTCCATACGTCCGTTCGTCCTTCCATCTATTCATTGATCTATCCATCCAATCCACTCCCTCCCCCTACTCCGTGGATCCATACACTGATCCTCCCAGCCACCCATCCGCTAACAGTCAACTAAACCATTTTTTGTATATATATATCAATTTACCCACCCATTCATACATAAATGCACCCTTGCATTCATCCTTCCATTTACCCAGCAAACCATCTAATTCCCATTCCAGTTATGAATTTATGTATCCCTCCAAACATAAATCCATGTGTCCAAACACCACTATGTCCAATCCACTAATTCACTAATCCACCCATGTATTCATTCATCCTTCCACCTACCCATCCGTTCGTCCATTCACACCTCCGTCCATCCACCGACCCATCCACCACTTCATGAATCAATCTACCCAGCCACCAACGCTTCCGTCTATTTATTCCCATATCTAGAAATATTTGCTTTTAATGATCGCTTTTTCTCTTAGCATACATCATTAGAAAATTACATCTATAACCACACTAGTCAATCAATAATTCGTTCAGTCAATCAATCAATCAGATGCGCTACCTTCGATGTGCTACCATCTCGATTTACCAACCATGGAAGACAGAATACACATTTTCAGAGCAAGTGCCTACCTCACAGTCAACGCGGACAAACAGTATCCATTTCATAGTGAAATTAAGAAGATAACAGGCAGTAAGTTTAAAAGAGGGAAATCGTGGATGGGTCAAGCCGAGGACAATATTTTACAGGTATGTTCACTTGAGGACATAGAACCCGGCGAGGAGTGGGTACAAGTGCTTTCAGAGTGCTGAACATCTTTTTCTGTTGGCATCCAACAAGACAGAAAATGGAGGCAATAGAGTCCGGCTGCTGTGGAAGCAGAAGTTTAAGCCTTGATTTTAGAGAACTTTCTAGAGGGTGATGCTGTCTTTTACACAGATGGGTCTGTCATCCGCCATGTTAGGAGCTCGTGGGCTTTCACGACTCAGTTTGGAGGAAGTGAAGGAAGATTCTGGAGCTTTTGCAGTAACTACAAGTAGTCTGACTATAGAGGTCATGGCTGTGACTAAAGCAGTAACATGGCTAGAGACACAGACTTTCACTGGAGCATGCTTTCTCTGTGACTCGATGAGTATGCTAAGGAAGATAAGAGAAGTGCTGGGTCCGAAGGCAGTGATTGGTGGTTCTACAGAATTCACGGCTGACAAGGATAATTTGCATTCTCGTGCCAGGATATGTGGGGGTACATGGAAATGAGCAAGCTGATAGACTTGCAGGTGAGGCTACTGGAAACAAGCCAGGACAAGCCATGGACCAGGCTGATATACTGAATGCTCTAAGCGAGTTAAGACGTTTGCGTGAACCAACTGAGAACTGTGAATCTGCAACCATGGTCAGACTGCAAGAACAGCAAGTTTAACGGAGCGTCGCCAAACAAGAACACTACGCGGGTAACCAAAGAAGAAAAATAAACCAACACATGACTGGTGTCGTTAGCTGCTGCATGCTGCTGGATTTACTGAGGAGGGGGTCCGAGCACTTATGGACTGAGTGGTTCGACGTGAAAATAATGATAATTTGTTAAGTAACTAATTAATCAGGTGCGTCTCCACAATGAAAGTTGGCTGCAGTGTAGCTTCAACGCGTTGCTCCAGATCACCTGATCTGGAGGTACACTCTCTCATTCTATGTTGGTTTTGATAGTATCCTCCCACTTGTATCGCTGTCAGCTCAAGTATGGCTTTTATGTCTGTTATGTCAATGACTGTTATGAATGAGATATTTCTCTTGTCTCTTCGTGTGTGTGTGTGTGTGTTTTTAAATCTTTATTTCCCTCAGCTCGTTAATAATCGATCCCATACAGTGTGTGCGAATCCAAAAATCTATCCTGTCAATGTTGACAATTACCGTTAACAACACCACAAGCTGTGAGTAGAATCGACTACCGCTGTCCCAGTTAATATATTAATTGCTCTATAAATACGACACGGAGATAGCATCTTAATTAACCGCTAACAAATTAACTCCTAATAAATTAAGTGTTAACAATTTAACTGAGGTCGGTTTATAGTGGGTGCAAATGATTTCTGACTTCTCCTCACTCAAATACGCACCTACAAACCCTTACCATGGGTGCCAAACAAAGGGTAGGGGCTGGGGGGGGGGGGGGTGGGGGTATTTGGAAAAGGGGGGGGGGGGTCGTGCCTTAGTCCCTTTAAGTCCCTTTGCAAATGTTTTCAGGGAGGGATTGGGGATCAATGAGCCTAAACCTCGTTTAAGTGCCCAATAACAATCATGATCGACTTCTTTTTTTAATTGTTAGTCTAAATGACGTGAATACTTGAGGTCTATTTACGTCATAGCCGACACATCCGACTTCTTTGGCCATATGTAATCTGGTGAAG